TAACCTTAAAAAATAGTTTAATTGGTTAAATTTTGAATTTATTTTTAAATAATTATTAATTTAAATTATTTGAAGACTACTAGAAATTTATTCAGTTATTAATTTTAGTCAATATATACATATATATATATATATATATATATATATATTTAAAATATACACAATCTAACCGTGTGTGTGTATGTGTGTGTATATAAGCCATAAAATGCTCTGCTTCATGCTTCCCGTGGGTTTTTTTATTTTTTATTTTTGTGTTTGAAAAGTATGTTTATAAAAAGTAATTTTTATAATTTTTTTTGTTTTTCTAAATTTTTTTAATGTAATGATATAAAAAATTAATTATAAAAAATAAAATAAAAAAATATTTTTTATTTTATAAATCAATCATTGCTACAATATTAAACAGGTGGTTAAACACAAAGACTAAATATAAGAGTAGCTGTGAAAATTCATATGCATTTGAAGTAATGACCAATTTATCATATTATTAAAAAAACTAAATATCTCTTATTATTTTAGAAAAAATAATAAATCACAAGTTTTGATATTCAATTGACAATTGAATAATAGATTGGAGGCTAAAGTGAGGTTATCTTATTATTTTAGCTGTGAAAATTCATGTGCAATTGAAGTAATGACCAATTTATTATATTATAAAAAAAACTAAATATCTCTTATTATTTTCGCAAAACTAATAAATCACAATTTTCGATATTCAATTGACAATTGAATAATGGATTGGAGGCTAAAGTGGGTTATCTTTTAATCTCAAAATCAATATTTGTTTTATATTTTATTGAACAAGTGCCATCTTATTTCAAAAGTTCTAAAACACCAGCATTTATTTAAATTAAAAATGTATTTCATATTATGATAATTTTTATGATTGTGATTTGAAAAAAAATATTTTATAAAAAATATTTTTAGTTAAGGTTGGTTTCATAAAATATATATTTAACTAAAACTGTGGATAAAATTAAAATTAAACAAAAATAAATCAAATTGAGGTCGGTAATAAAATAACTAAAAATATATGTGTGTATGTGATTTTTAATTAAAATATTATAGATTTAACTACTACTACATTATTATGAAGTAAACAATATTTTATAAAAAAATATTTTTTTTTATTTTATTAAATTATTTATATTTTTATCATGTATAAAATTCATATGATATATTCAATTAATTTATAAAAAAATTTATTTATTTTTTTAATTTCTGACGACATATTCAATCACATTGCATATTGCATAATGATGAATGTACATAATTAAATTGTACCAATACCGAAAATCTTGAAAATGATTTCTCTCAACTTTTATATATGAGAATAAAGCAATATGGATTTAATTATTTTGAGCCTTCCAAATATAGTTGATACTTAAGGACTAAGCAAGATCCAACAACACAACAAGAAATCCATGTTTTCTACAGAAACTAAATGGCCTTATTGACACAAAACTTTTACCCCTCGCCTATCTATTCATCTTGGTTGGAGCTAGAACTTGCCGCCACATCTTCAGTGAAAGCACAACAGAAAAAATGGCACCAGCCACAACTTTCTACTGAGAGCATAGGAAACTAAAAGGCAAGTTGGCATCCTCATTAACCAATATTAATTCAGATCTGCATCAAATCTACAGGGAGAGTGGTTGCTTGTGCAAGGTTGGAGGAGACGATACAACAACAAAAATTAGAGAGATGGGTTGTGGTGTTCCAGTGTGCTTTGATAGGGAGGCCAGTTTTGTCCAAGATTTTCAACGATAATAAGCAACCACAATTGCATTGTTTGATTTACCTCGTGACCAATTCTTTCAAGTGAAAAGCATCTTTGAGGTGGTTCTCATTAACTAAGGTCAAACCTTGAATTTATCATGGGATCCACATGCAAAATCACAGTTCAGATTTTAACCAAACGTTAATAAAAGGAAGCTTGGGAGAAACCACACAATCCATTACTCTCTAATTTTATTTTGGTAGTGTAATTATAGTTATTTTTTAAATATTTTTTTATGTTAAATATGTGTTAATAATTTTTTTTATTTTTTAAAAATTATTTTTGATATTAATACATCAAAATATATTAAATATATTAAATTTTAATAATAAAAAATTTAATTTTTTTTTAAATATTAAATCTAGAACACTCTCTAGATATCATAAGAAATGCTATAAACATTCCCAACTCCTTTCCCCAAGCCCTCTATATCATTTCTGCTTTATGGCGACATCATTGTTGCCGCCGTAACTGTAAACACTCCCACCTCCTCTCCTCCCACTCACTAAATCATTTCTGCTTTATAGCAACACCATCGTCGCCACTGTAACCGCAACCACCGATAATCCAAACCTGGCAAACAACATTTCTCACTCTAAGAGACAACACTAACAACTCAAAGTCCAAAATCAAAATCATTTCTACAACTCCTTCGCGATTCACTCTTCAACTCTCCCGCTCCTCTCTCCACCGCCTCCAATCTCCCTTCTCACGAACTTATCAATCTCAGTCCTCACTAATCAACTAATTTACTCCTGAATAACTCTCACATTAACTAACCAATCATTTTGTTTGATTACATTTCCTCACATTTTATATTTTTTGCTGGAATTGGCGCCAAATTCACCACATCTTTTCACTTCAGTGAACCCTCGCATTTCACATTAGGTGACAATGATTTAAATTTTTAATTTTTCTTAGTGTCAGTGAGTTTTTTTTTTTAATGAATTTGAATCTTGCGAATTCGGCTTATGATGTACGCCAAAGCATTACCTCACATTTTATATTTTTTGCTGGAATTGGCGCCAAATTCACCACATCTTTTCACTTCAGTGAACCCTCGCATTTCACATTAGGTGACAATGATTTAAATTTTTAATTTTTCTTAGTGTCAGTGAGTTTTTTTTTTTAATGAATTTGAATCTTGCGAATTCGGCTTATGATGTACGCCAAAGAAACGAGTTTCGCTGCAATTAAATTCCAATTCAAGGAGCGTTGCACTTGATTCGTATGCGAAATGCTGCAACTGTTTTTCGGAAAGTCCGGTATTTGCTAATGCTAGTCTTGCTGTCGAATGTATAGTGACTGCAAGACATATTTGTACTACAAGGGCATAGCAAGAAAATACAAAAGCAATCCCATAACATAACAAAACATCTAAAAACAGAAACTCTAGCAAGTATCCAACATATGTTATACTTGAAAAATTTTTGAAAACCCAAAAGATTTAAAAAGAAGCTTGAACGGAAATCCCACCATGTTGATGCAACTGGAATGGCCCCCCTCATTCTTCCTCAACCACAGTGCCCTTCTCACTCACGTAGATACCATCAAGAAATTTTCGGATATCCTTGTTCTTGACATGACATTTCTGTACAAAAGAGAGGAGGTAAGAGCATGAAAGCGATTTCAGTGACTTAGGATGCACAGGAACAACAACTCTATATTGCGCAAGACAGAATACTAAAATGTGCTTAATGCTCATGATTACATATTCTAACATGTACAGAAATGCTAGCACACACTCGCACACGAAGAGAGAGAGAGAAAGAGACCTGGTTGATCAAAGCTGCTGACCGTGAAACAAGCTCAATATCATTGCCATCTAGGATGAGCTCATCCTTCACCTTTTCAGATCGGAGAATGCTAACCCCTTCAAGCATATCAACCTTCCTAACCTGTAGAAAACAACTACAACAGCATCAGAACATGTCCGAAGCCAGTTACACGCCAATCTACACCACAAAGTCTGCATTTTGTAGTGGTATTTCAAAGACTGCAATTCAACAATAACACATATCCATGAAACAAGAACTTAATCCCAGAAGCCATAATAAAAACAATCTTCATTTCAAATACTTAGAATACAGCTATCAGTAACAGCCAATTATTCCATACTGCCAGTCTACAATGACTCGTATCCATGAAACAGAAACTTAATCCCAGATCCCATAATCAAAACAATCTTCATTTCAATTAAATAGAATACAGCTATCAGTAACAAACCAATTATTCCATACTTGCATGTTGGAGCATCCAAAGAAAAATATAAAAAACCCAATCCTTCGGGCCCTAGAAACCGAGCTTGCTGTATTATAAGACTCAAATGAGATTTGAAATAGCACACTAGATTCCATACACTTAGCACAACAGACCGTGTAAAATGAAATCATCAGCAAATCACAACATTTAATTCCGAACACTTGGCTAGTACGAACCACAGGTGAAAACTGGCATCCTGCACTATCAATTCTAAAAACTTACGTCAATTCTCTCATATAAAAGAATCCTAAAACTAAGTTTCATTTTCCACTAATCACAGCATCTAGATTATTAACATGACCAGGGTTTCACTTAGCCTCACTGTATTTCCATTAATATTCTACCAATTCACCAATTGCAAATTTTATTTCATGCTGCCGGAACCCAAAACTAAAACTTTCACCACCATTATTCACATTTTAACTTTCTCGCAAAAATTTCTAGCCACAAAGTCAACCATAAAAAATGAAAAACCCTTGACCAGAGCTCTTATACTAGCACACCGGGAATACCAGACGAGACAGAAAAAACAAAACTTGGGAATAAATTCTTACCTTCTTCTCGCCGAGGAAGTTCCGGATCTCGATAGCAGTGTTGCTGTTAGTGATGGAAGCGTTGATGGGAAAGTGAGCGTACACAAACCTCATCTTGTATCTGTACCCCCTGGTAACCCCAGTAATCAAGTTCTCCACGTGGCTCAGGGCAGTCCTGATAGCAGCACTGGTCTTTCTTGTTCCAAACCACGCATCGATCTTCAGCTTTCTCTTCCCTTCCTCGTCTTTGATCAGCTGGAAATCAAGATTCAGATGCTTGAAATTCCTGCTCAGCTTGCCTCTTGGGCCTTCCACTTCTATGATCCTAGCACTGATCTTGATTTTCACCCCATCGGGGATGTCCATGGTCTCAGACGACAGAATTGTCTTCATGGTTTGTGGCAGCCGTCTCCCTGGTTTGTGACAGAATTCTCTCTGTTTCAAAGCCGCCCCAAAACCCTAAGACATATTTTGTTCCCAAGAGCCTGAGACATGTTTTCTTTATAAACCCTAGAATTTATTAAGGCTGAGTGGAGATAACCAGGACCTGTTTAGTGATGGTTTAGATCCAACCCAAGCCCATACAAGACCGGCCCATATTTATGGAATTTCTTTGTTTGTATTCATTTTTTTTGTAGTTTAATGTTTTTTAATCATGTTATCTGTGTTTTCTATTTATAATTTTAACACATCGATTGTTTTTTTTTTTTCATGCTCATGTGATGATGGTAAAACACGTGGCCAGTTTATTTTTTGTGTTTTAAAAGAGTTTTTAAAAATTTTAAATTTATTTTACTTTAAATTTCTATTTTAAGATTATTTTAATATGTTAATGTCAAAAATAATTTTTTAAAAAATAAAACATGTTATTTTAATATTTTATAAATAAAAAAACATTCTAAAAGGCAACTACAATTAGATTTTTAAACATTTCTAAAAGCAAACACATTAATCACAACTCATTCATAAAACGTTTACCCTAATTTGATTTTATTATCCTTTCAAGATGTTGATGAAGATTAAATAGATGAAACCTGAAATATTATTAAGAATTAATGACAATATCTGTGAAATAAATGTCTCAGCTACAAAGGTTTTGAATAAGTTATCATGTTAGTGCATAATAAATGTTTTAGAATACTATGGGGAAATTATGAGAATATTTATATTTATTTAAGAAAAATAAAAAGGTAAAAAAAAATCAAGTTTCGTTGATATAATTACCAACAATGACAGTATTGTTTGAAAAAAAAAATATTATTGTAATTTTAAATAGACTCTTAATTACGAGGAATTTGAGAAAGTAAATCCAAAATAAATAGGTGAACCAAACATTATAACCCAATCATTTTATTATTTATTTTGATCTTCCACTTTTTATAACCTACAATTATAGATGAAAACATATTGATTTTGTCAAGTTTATTTCTCTTTCTTAAAAGAAAAACAATTTTTATAGAGTAATATTCAAAGCGTTAAAAATATATTATTGTTAGAGTCCATTCAAGCCTATCTCGTTATTAAATTTTAGCTTATCAATTTTGATATTGAAATTTGAGTTTAGTTTTGACATGTATGGATTTAAAATGTTGTTTAATATTTGTTTTATTCATTGATTTTTAATTCAAGGAAACCTCCATCTTGCCCAAACATATTAACTCATTATCATGTTGTAGTTCATCAATTCTGCATAAATTGTAATTAATATTAGATTATATTTCCTAATTATGTTTTAAATTATGAAATTATAACAAACCGTAACAAATTATCAATCCTGCATAAAGTGCATAAATTGTAACAAATCGGACACGTGAAATTATTTAAATTATGTTTTACATAAAAAAAAATTATTATAAGATAAACTCGTGCACTGCTATCAAAACCTATTTTTATTTAACTATACTGAAATCAAAGAAAATAATTTCAATAATTAAAATGATCTAAAATATATTTCATAGTCAGAATTTCATTTTATTGTCAAATTATTTATTTTCTTGTTTTGATAAAAGCAAGTATTTTTTTTATAAAAAGAATGGTTTTTGTTTTTGAAAAATCCAACACGATTATGATAAGCATTTGTAGGAATTCAAATGGTTAAAAAATAAAATAAAAAATAGCCAAAAGTATAAATCCTTGATCAATTATTTTTTTACTGTTAAAAAAATGTTAGGTTTACTAAAACAGTAATTTACTATATAAAAACTTAGCGTTATATGAAAGGTAAATCACAAAAAAAAAAAAATCATTTCATATTAATTTTGACTAAAACATATAAAAAATCAAACAATGATCAATTTCAAAATTTTATATAAAAAGCAAAAAAAAAAATAATTTCAATGAAAAGAACTATGCATTTTAGATCTATATGCATAAATCAGTTTATTTTCAATGAAAAGAATTATCAAAATTAAATCAGTTTATTTTCAATGAAAAGAATTGTCAAAATTGTCTTTTATGTAGATTAAAGTTTATTTTACTGTCTTGGATTTATGCATAAATCACAAACAAAGTAAATACAATGTTTTATCTGCCTTGTCATGCGTGGACGGTGAGGAGAAAAAAGAGATGGAGAGAGTGAGATTCACCGGCTCATTTAGGCATCTCAGCAGGCTAACCTATCATTTGATTTTATTTTTTTAAAAAATAATTTTTATACATAATTTTAAATTGTTTTGATTTAAAAATAACTTTTAAAAAATACTGTGTTAATGTATTTTTAAATAAAATAAAATTTTAAAATAATTATCACTATAATCATAAACATTACCAAAATTTTAAATAATCAAAATTTATAAATATTCTCTCTACTATCAACAATCGTATTTTTTGGTTGCATGCAAATTCCTTGTTATTTTTTTACCTAGAAAAATAAGTAAAATAACAATAATATAACCTCTCGCTAACCTTGAGAGATGCCTTAGTTAATTAGGTTTTGAAATTACTTTTCAATGATTATTAATTTGAATTCCATCAAGCCACTACAAATTTATTCAATTATTAATTTTAAAATTTTATAAAATTAATCAAATATATATAATTTAACCCTAACATCCACGATTACCAATACATGAATATAACCTCCCGCCCTAGCTTCCCCTTCCCCGTGTAAGGGAGGGAGCTGATGCTACTGCTTCATGCTTCTTGTTGGGCCTTTTCTACTTTTTTCATTTAATTTTCATGTATATTAACTTAATCAATGGAAAACTTTTAATTGGATATGAGAGTTGTTTTTATAGAAAATATTAAACTTAATATTTAAAACCTGTTTGTTTGTTTTTGTGTTTGGAAATTATTTTTGTAAAAAATATTTTTTTCTAAATTGTTTTAATGTAATGATGTAAAAAGATGATTTTAAAAAAATAAAAATAAAATATTATTTTGATTTATTTATAAAATATATATACATATTTTAAAAATCAATCACTTCTCTTACACAGACACTAAGTCTAAGAATAGCCGTCAAAATTCATGTGCATTTGAAGTAATGATCACTTTATCATATTATATATAAAAAAAACGGTATATCTCTTATTATTTTAGCCAAATTAATAAATCACAAGTTTTAATATTCAATTGATAATTGAATAATGGATTGGTGGCTAAATTGAGGTTATCTTTTAATCTTAAAATCAATATTTTTTTATATTTTATTTTTCATTTTAAATATAATCTCTAATTATTTTTTAAAATTCATAATCATATTTGTACTACGAGTACCCCTTCATTTTAAAAGTTTTAAAACACTAACACATATTTAAATTAAATATTACTTGAAATGCTATAAACAATCCAACAAAGCAACTGTCACATCTCAATCCTCACTTGCGACAAGATTTCACTTGAGTGAACTCTTACATTTCACATTTGATAAAAATAATTAAATTTTTTATTTTTTAAGTTTTTTTAACTGAATTTAAAATTTTTAAATTAGGTATATGATGCGCGCCAAAAGCAACACCTTTTGCTGCAATTATATTTTAAGAATTTGTTTGGCAACGAGATTATGTCTGTGTTTTAAATAAAATACGGATATAACATAAAAACAAAACATATTTTATTATATATGGATTCCATGTCTTTTCGCGTCTGAAACACAGAAAAAGAAGAAACAACATTTTTACTGCAATTAAATTCTAAGAACTTGTTTGGCAACGAGGTTACATCTGTATTTTAAATAAAACACGGATATAACGTAAAAACAAAACATATTTTATTATATATGAATCCTATGTCTTTTCACGTCTGAAACACAGGAAAAGAAAAGGCAACATTTTACTGCTTTGTGCACACTGTTCATGCTAATTTTAATTATTATAAACAGTGTATGTGAATATCTTTTGCATTGTTCACATATTTTTTTTAAACAGTATTAATTTTATTAATATTTTTTTATAAAAAACTAATTTAAAGTAAATTAAATTAATTTATACTGTAATATGGATAATATTTTTTTCTAAAAAATTAGTATACATTGAATTGTACTATAATATCAATTCTATACATAATAATATTTTATCTAATTTTATTACAGGCTTAAAATATTATAAAAATTATAGTTTTTATCAAATAAATTTTATACATAATGGAATTATAAATAATTTAATAAAATAATAAAAAATATTTTATATAAAATATTATTTATTTTATAATATAATAGAAATAATTAATTTTAAAATATTTAAATTTAAAACCATTAATATTAATATATATTTTTTAAAATTATTTTATAACCTTAATTTCAAAAATATTTTTAACCATCCACATTAAACTATTTTTTTTAATTTCAATTTCAACCATAATTTTAACTAAACATCTATTTTTTTAAATCAATTTCAACTACAAATACTTTTTTATAAAATAATTTTTTTAAACGATCGCCGCAGTAACAAACACACTCTAATTCTTGGAGTCACTTGATTCGTATGCGAAAATGCTGCAATTCTTTTTCGGAAAAGCTGGTAGTGCTAATGTTAGTCTTGCTGTCGAATGTCTTGAGACTGCAAGACATATTTATACTCCAAGGGCATAGCACGAAAATACAAGAGCAATCCCATAACTTAACAAAACTTCTAAAAACAGAAACTCTAGCAAGTATCCACCAGATGTTATACATGAAAATTTTTCGAAAACCCAAAAGATTTAAAAAGAAGCCTGAAAGGAAATCCCACCATGTTGATGCAAATGGAATCGCTCCCCTCATTCTTCCTCAACCACAGTGCCCTTCTCACTCACGTAGATACCATCAAGAAATTTTCGGATATCCTTGTTCTTGACATGACATTTCTGTACAAAAGAGAACACGTAAGAGCATGAAGGCAATTCCAGTGAGTTAGGATGCATCTTCCTCATCCACAGGAACAACAACTCTATATTGCGCAAGAAAGAATACTACAATGTGCTTAATGCTCATGAGTACATATTCTAGCATGTACAGAAATGCTAGCACACACTCGCAAATGAAAAGAGAGAAAAACCGACCTGGTTGATCAAAGCTGCTGACCGTGAAACAAGCTCAATATCATTGCCATCAAGGACCAGCTCATCCTTCACCTTTTCAGATCGGACAATGCTAACCCCCTCAAGCATATCAACCTTCCTAACCTGTAGAAAACAACTACAACAGCATCAGAACATGTCCGAAGCCAGTTACACGCCAATCTACACCACAAAGTCTGCATTTTGTCACAGTATTGCAAGCACTGCAATTCTACAATAACTCCTATCCATGAAACAGAAAATCCCAGAAGCCATAATCAAAACAATCTTCATTTAAAATTATTAAAATACAGCTATCAGTAACAGCCAATTATTCCATACTGCCAATCTACAATAACTCTTATCCATGAAACAGAAACTTCATCCCGGATTCCATAATCAAAACAATCTTCATTTCAACCCAATACTTTGGGCCCTGGAATCCGAGCTGACGATATTATAAGACTGAAATGAGATTTGAAATAGCACATTTAATTCCCCTTTGTAAAATGAAATCATCAGATAATCACCACATTTAATTCCAAACACTTAGCTAGCAAGAACCACAGGTGAAAACTGGCATCCTTCATTATCAATTCTAAAAACTCACTTCAATTCTCTCGTATAAAAAGACCCTAAAACTAAGTTTCATTTCCACTAATCACAGCGTCTGGGTTATTAACATTAGCAGGGTTTTACTAACCCTCGCTGTATTTCCATTACTAATCTACTAATTCACCCATTACAGATATTTATTTCATGGTGCCGGAACCCAAAACTAAAACTTTCACCACCATTATTCACATTTTAACTTTCTCGCAGCTCTAACATTTCTAGCAACAAAGTCTAACAAAAAAAATGAAAAACCCGTGACCTGATTTCTTATAGCATCACACCGGGAATACCAGGCGAGACAGAAAAAACAAAACTTGGGAATAAATTATTACCTTCTTCTCTCCAAGGAAGTTCCGGATCTCGATAGCAGTGTTGCTGTTAGTGATGGAAGCGTTGATGGGAAAGTGAGCGTACACAAACCTCATCTTGTATCTGTACCCCCTGGTAACCCCAGTAATCAAGTTCTCCACGTGGCTCAGGGCAGTCCTGATAGCAGCACTGGTCTTTCTTGTTCCAAACCACGCATCGATCTTCAGCTTTCTCTTCCCTTCCTCGTCTTTGATCAGCTGGAAATCAAGATTCAGATGCTTGAAATTCCTGCTCAGCTTGCCTCTTGGGCCTTCCACTTCTATGATTCTAGCACTGATCTTGATTTTCACCCCATCGGGGATGTCCATGGTCTCAGACGACAGAATTGTCTTCATGGTTTGTGGCAGCCGTCTCCCTGGTTTGTGACAGAATTCTCTCTGTTTCAAAGCCGCCCCAAAACCCTAAGACATATTTTGTTTATAAACCCTAGAATTATTAAGGCTGAGTGGAGATAACCAGGACCTGTTTGGTGATGGTTTAGATACAACCCAAGCCCATCCAAGACCGCCCCACATTCACTGGCTTTCATTGTTGATGTTCAAACATGTTGATGTTCAAACATAAACCCTGAAGATTTTTTGTTTATATTGCAATGCCCTAAACCCTAAGATTATTGATGTTCAAACATGAAACCCCAAAACCCTGAAGATATATTGCAATGCCCTAAACCCTAAGATTACTATTATATTTTAGACCGAGTGGACATAACCAGGCCCTTTCTGGTGATGGTTTAGATTCACCCCGGGCCTCTCTAAGCCCAGCCCACATTTTCTGCTATTAAAAAAAGAAATATATAGTTTAATTGATTTAGTCATGTACTTTATGTTTTCTTTTTAGAATATTAACACATCGAGTTTTTTTTTTATCATATGATATTAAAGCAAGTGAATCTAAAAAAGATAGGTGAATCAAATCTTATAGGACAGTCATTTTATCATTGATTTTGATCTTATATAATCTACCATTATAGATTAAAACATGTTAATTTCATCAAATTTGTTTTCTTTTTTGAGAGAAAAACAATTTTTATATCGCTGTATTTTCAACACATTGTTGAATTCTAGTTTATCAATTTAATTCTAGTTTACCAATTCTAGAAAAACAGATTTGTTTCTCTAATTAATAATGTAATTTTTTTTATATTGTTGAATTCTAGTTTATCAATTTTGATGTTGAAATTTAAGATTAGTTTTGACACGTTTGAATTTAAAACGTTCTCTTATTTTTTTTATTCATTAACTTTCAGTCCAAGGAAACCTCGATCTAGCCCTAACATATTAGCTCACTGTCAAATCATAGTTTATCAATTCTGCATCAATTGTAATCAACCTTAGATTATATTCCCTAACATGATACTGAAGAACAATGTTAACGCATAAATTTACATGTGAAGTGGAGGATAATTAACTAAGATTTGACACTAAAATTATCTTCTTGGAAAATTAGGGCTGTTCTTGGCTCCTCGTTGAAAATACTAAACGAGCACATACAAATCGGACATGTGACATTATTTTAATTATGTTTTACATGTACTATAGAATAGATTGGTTATGTTTGTTAAAAAAATAACATAAATCATTTTATGAGATTTCATGTAATAGCTTAAATTATTAGATCAAAATAATTTTTTAATATAGTATCAAAGCGCTACTAATTAAATGATCACGGGTTCGAATCTTACCATTTTTATTTATTTGATAAAAGTTAAATATAAGATAAAATAGATATATGCAAGTTTCAAGTCTGTTAAATATAAAATAAAATAGATATATGCAAGTTTCAAGTCTAAAAAAATTTCGTTTGGGAGGGTGTGCTGGAAAATAATATAAATCATATATTGAACCTCATCTAAAAACTTAAATTATTGAGCTGACATGGTTCTTAATAGTATTCTTGGTGCACTATTATGAAGTGATTCTCATAACCTATTTTTATTTAATTATATAATTATCAAAACAAATATTTTCAACAATTAAAGTGACCTGAGTCATAAATAAAATATATTTCTTGGTTTAAATCTTATTTTATTATGAAATTATTTATTTTCTTGTTTTGATAAAAAAAAATGTATTTTTTTTATAAATAACATGTTTTTTAAGTAAAATCTAACACAATTAAAATAGACTTTGCTAGAATTCAAATGATTTAAATAAAAAAATAGCCGAAAAATATAAATCCTTGATGGAGTATTTTTTTTCCAATTCAAAACATGTTCTGTTTGGTAAAATAATAATTTATCATATAAAAACTTATCATCATACAAGGTACATCACAAAAAATAAAATATAAAATAAAATAATATAATTATTCTTAATGAAAAAAATCACGCGTTTTAGATCCATATAGTTTTGTTATAAGTTAATCAATAGTATTACCACAAAAATATCAAATCTTGTTTGAAAAGCAAAGAATATTTTGTCGCTTTATAAAATTTATTGTAACAATCCCAATTAAAAAATATTTCATTAAAAAATAAAATTATAAAATAAAAACAACAAGCCAAGCCTATATCCAAGGTTTGACCTTTAAAAACAAAAACACACATGTATGCGGTGACAGATTAGGCCTAAATACTTACCTATATATAAAAAAAATATTTTTTAAAAATTATCGTGCACAGAAATCCAGCCATTCAAAAACTCTCTCTTCTCAGTACTTCCAGTGATTTTCTCTCGTTTCTAAACTTTTAGAAACTGAAATGAGACATGGATAAGGTATGAAAATTAAAAAAAAAAAGAAACTCTAGAGATTAAATGGAGTTTTGCATGTCAATTACGGAAAGATTTTTTTTTCTATCCTTAATCCCTCAATTTAATTTTCCCGAGAAAATTCATTTGCATTTGAGTTCTCGTGAATTTATAGTTTTTTTTTAAATAAATATATTTTATTATTTTAGCAAAATTACTAAATCACTGGTTTTGATATTTAATTGATAATTGAATAATAGATTGGAGGCTAAGTCTCTCGGAGCACTGTTTAACAAAGATATGTTATAATTATTATTTTTATATATTTTTAATTAATTTTGATGTATTGATATTAAAAATATTTTAAAAAAATAAAAAATATTATTTTAATATATTCATAAATAACAAATATTTTTTACAAATCATTATTTAATTCCCAAACACTACTAAATTAAAGTTATCTTTGAATATTAAAATCAATATTTCTTTTTATATTTTACTTTTCAATTGTAAATAAGATTTCTAATTAATTTTCAAATTCTTAATCATATTTGCAGTAACGGAGTGCCACCTCAATTCACAAGTTCTAAACCACTAGCACTCATTTAAATTATCACAGGAAATGATATAAACACTCCCACCTCCACTTCCCCGCCCACTAAATCATTTCTGCTTTTATGGCGACGCCATCGTCGTCGGCTCCGCCGCCGCAACCGCCGATAATCCGAACCTGGAGAACAGCATTTCTCAGTCTAAGAGACGAAACCCTAACAACTCGAAGTCCAAAATCAGAATCAAAATCACTTCCACAACTCCTTCACGATTTACTCTTCTCCTCTCCCACTCTTCTCTCCGCCGCCTGCGATCTCCCTTCTCACGAAGTAACTTATCAATCTCAATCCTCACTAATCAACTGATTTACTCCTTAATTACTCGCGCATTAACTTACTAATCATTTTGTTTTATCAGATTACCTCTGATTTGATATTTTTACTGGAATTGGTGGCAAATTCATCACAAGATTTCACTTCAGTGTACCCTCACATTTCACATTTGGTAAAAATAATTTTAATTTGTAATTTTTGTTAATGTTAGTGAGTTTGTTTTTTGCTGAATTTGAATCTTGTAAATTAGGTTTATGATGTATGCCAAAGGCAACGCGTTTCGCTGCAATTAAATTCTAATTCATGGAGTGTTGCACTTGATTCGTATGCGAAAATGCTGCAGTTGTTTTTCGGAAAAGCTGGTACTGTTAATGTCAGTCTTGCTGTCGAATGTATAGAGACTGTAAGGTTAGTTTTTCATTTGGAG